AGAACACATTTAAAATGGAGAAATAAGTATTTACACTAATCACTGAAAACATTTGTATGGAAAACATGTATTTGCATATGAATGAATATACTAAAAGAAAGGCGTTTGCTAATAGAAAATGTTTAATGAATAGTTTATATTAAACTAAGCAATTTTTATTTATTCTGAAGCATTATTAATACCCTGAACACATTCAAAATGGGAAGAAAGAATCTGGCAGAAGAAAACATCTCCGACTCCAAAAAGTATCTATATTTTGGTCAACAGCTTACCATCTGTATAAGCAAGCCGATCACGGAGACTATATGAGCTAGAATTAATATATTGAACAACTGGATTCAAGTTATCGAGATCTCTCGACTAGAGAATTTTAACTCTCACATATGTTGATGAAATTCTACAATATAAATAATGGAAAATATATTCTTAAACATTAAATTATTTGTTCTTAACTTTTAGTCAACAAAACAGTTTCCATGCAAAAAATAAACTTTTTTTCCAGAGTGGGGTTAGTCATATGAGTAAGTCAGTAAACCAAATATATTTGCATATATACAGCTGTTGAAGACAAAGAGTTTCTTGACAACTAAATGAGTCACTGTCAATATAAAATCCTTTCTTGAATCAAACTGAGAATGAGTCTTTAATTATAGAAATAAAAAATTTAAAGTTTTTTTTATGTAAATATATTTGAAACAATTCAAGACAAAGAGTTTCTTGACAGGGATAAGCCACAATAAAAAAACCCTTTCTTGAATCATACTGGGAATGAGTCTTTAATTATATAAATAAAAAATATAAAGTTTGTTTTTGTACAAATACATTTAAAACAATTCAATTGTATTTCGATATAATCGCTTGTCTAAACCAGTCTCCATAATATGATATGCGTGTGATGTGTTATCAAGTTAATCAATAGAAATCGGATACTAACGATGTGGGTGGAAAAGTAGTTGAGCGAAAGTTAAATAATTTTCTGGATTGAATTAATTTAATGCTTGCATGTTTTTTTCTTCTTTTTGCGCAGCAATCTACATAGAAATGAGCCGAATGCCAAGTCAAACCCATTTCCACGTTACATAAAAGCGCAAATGAATTTTGGATGAGATGGTCGACGAGAGAGTCGAGAGAAGACGTGTATATTACAAGGTTTACAGTGCTGATGTCTTCACATCGGTTACACACGAAAATTTGCGCGTCAAATCACATGGAGGTTTATATTATTTGTAACGTAAAGCCAACACCGAACCGTGAAATCAAAAGAAATCTGTATATTTATCGTGGCCCAGGCCATTTTAAACAAAATTTGAAAGACCCACAGATAGCAAAAAATGCAAGCTTTAATTCGTTTGTGAGTTTGGCGTATTTGGTCATTAAAAGCGTTTAGCTAATTGGTTTTGCAATGGAGCTAAATGTTTTGGGACTTGTTACGTCAATACTTTGATTTTTGGATCACTTTCTTTGTTTGGTAGTTAAGTACATAATATTGAATATCCGGAAAATGCAATATCGATCAAACATATTATTTTTCATGAATATATATATATGTATAGATATTTGATAACAGCACAAGTTAATTGTATATATATTTCATAATACTTACCAAAGTTAATTGATACAAATATTTGCTGCCTTAATTGAGCAAACACGGGCAAGATCGAGCATATGGCCAAGCGAACGTGTGGCTAAATGTGTAGCAGCTGCTGTTGTTACGGGTGTCTGTCTGTGTGTGTGTGTGTGTGTGTGTGTGTGTGTGTGAATGTGTGTGTTTTGTGGTGTTGTCAAGTCGGTTAAGCGACATGCCACCAAAAATGATTGACAATCACTTTATAAACAATTTCGCTTTGTGGCCCGTGACTCGGAGACTGCACTCTGCAGACTCTATAGACTGCCAGACACCGCGAGACACCCAACACATTCGCATTTTGTGCCGCTTCCCCATTCAAGTCAACCAGCAACCAGTTGCATATGAAAGTAAAAGTAAAGCAACACAGTCGAAAAAAACAAATGCATGCCTCCGTCTTGTATGTACGTTAAAATACATATACATATATACATACACCAGTAGACTTTTATACATTCATGAGCAGTGTGCATTTAAATGCATATAGAAATACATACATATACTATATAAGCGAGCTCATATATATGTATAAAACAAACAAAAGCGAAACTAAAGCAGACAGCGACACCGGTTGTGGCTGCAGACAACCTATACATACATACATACATACATAGGTACATATATACATATGTACACATATACATCAGCATTTAGTCACACATAAAATGCGTTCAAAAAGGCCGCTGCGCTTGTTGGCCGCAGACGCAGACGCTGATAAAATTGAAAGCCCAACCGAAATATATACAACACAAAATGGTTATGAGCAAAATTATTTTCAAAGGCATGACATCATTTCAATATATCAAATTCTGCATAAGCCTGAGAATGACAATTCTTTGAATAATCGTATAAATATTTAAATGACTCAAAGCTTGGCTTGGGAATTCGGGCACAGTTTGAATGTGAACATCAATTTGTCCTTGCCCTATGCAGAAGGTGCGAGTTTTGACGTTCATTTGTCTACTGTTTTTATTTGTGGAAAACACAGTTAATATTTATTGTGGAACTTGCTTGTTTTTGGTTATGGATGTGGAGAAAAAGTTTGTTGCTTAAGTCATTTGTTTGCAATGGGAATATTTTTTTATTCTGCAATACGTAGAGTGATCTTTATCGGTTTATTTATGTATATGTTTATGAATGTTGACATGCAATTTTGTTTTTTTATTTAATGTTGGACCACAAATTTTAAAAAGATTAAAAGATTAAAGAAGTCCATAATTAAAAAATTTGTTTAGAAATTTACCTGTATTTTGGCAATAAGCAAATTGGTTAGTGCTTACATATTTTAATTAGTTAGTTTAGGCCTATGTAAAAAGACTTGACAATATTTTTAAATTAAAGCTAAATTTACAAATTTAATTTACATTTTCGATCTTTATTTTGACCATAATCAAATTGCTTATTGCTTAAAATACTTAACACAATCAATATATCATTTTGTTAGTTTAGAAATTTTCTTTAATTTTTATTTTATAAGTCTATTGGAGTAATCCAACATGTACAGCTTTTTAAACTCGTATGCAATGGGAATTCAATTAATTTAACGGTTAACAAGTAGAGTTTTGTCAAACAATTTGCAACTGACAGTAGTCGTGTTATTTGTTAAGCGTGACTCATGCAAGTGTTTTCACATTTTTTTTGCAACTTTTAACCAAATTTGTTTTGTTATGTTGTTTATCGTTTTTGTGGCCAAATGACTTATCTCTTAGAGCCATACTCAGCTTGCAGCTTGTTGCTCCACTCAAAAATGAGTGCATAAGCAAAGTTGCAATGCTGTCTTTTTCTTGTGTTGTTTTTTTATTGTTCTATGCCTATGCAGCAGCAATTCAGTGGCTCGGAGATAAGCTGAAAAAAAAAAACTAGAAAACCACACAGCTTACAGTGTGACTAACAATGGAATTGGTGGCGCACACTTGGCTAAAGTTTTGTGCAATTTCAAAGGTGCATTTTGGAATTTTTTGCATTTAAAATTACAACCGCAATACCGCAATAGCAAACAACAGAAAACCGTAACACCAACAGACAGTGTTGCACATTTTCATGATATTTTGTGGGCAAGTTGCGACTGTTGAGTTTATAGGCTTTGACGTCTTTGGGCTCGGGTCTGTCTTGAGTTCATTGAGTCACATTTCTTTGACTGATGAAGTTAGCCAGAATTCGCCCTGCGATTGATGCTTGCTGACTGTTTCTGGGCGCGTCTTCGTTTGCATTGATGGCATTTCAAAAATTGCATATGCGAATATTTTCTGTGTTGGGGCGCAGCTTGGCATTGAGATTGAGTATGGTACTATAATAAAGGAGACGAGTATTTCTTGTGTCTGCCTACGCGTTAGACACTCAGAAAAAAAATTAATGTCAATGTTTTTTTTTCTGATTTTTGGATATAGTGTTTTTTTTTTAAATAAAAACCTGCATATTAGCTTTGGAAATTTTTTTTTTGTTTATTTGGTTAAAAAATTAAAAATGAATGAAGAGTAAAAAATACTATATTCTTGGGACTGTTGATTAAGTGCCAGCATTTCTTACTAATTATGTAACTTTTAAGGTGATTAATGGGAACCAATAGCTAAACTCTAACATAGTAGAAGACAGATTAATTTTAATGAACATTTTTTCTGAAGTTTTCATATATTGTTTTTATATAAATAGATTGTGAAAAGTAAAAAATATCGTACTTTTGAGACTATAGAACTCCATTTCATTTTTAGTGGTATTTTCTAAGGTTAAATATTTGTCAGTGTACTCGTGCTGATTTCCGACTTGTACTTCAGTTTTTCCCAATTCTGTGTGTACTCTTTGAAAGTCAATCGTTGAGCTTAAAGATCCCGCGTAGAATTTAAAGCTGTGGGCGTAGACGCAACAATGCCTTCTCAGCTGGTCTTTTCATTGAGATTTGTACTGGGATTGTGTCTTTTATTGGCCTGGTTCAAAGAAGTTCGCTGAGTTTACCTTGTCAAATTATAAATTTGCCGCAGCTTTACTTTTGATAAATTCAAAAACTCAACGACTTTTGGCAGCGACTGCACACCCACACACACAGACGCGCCGATAGAGTCACAGACACAGCCTAGACACACCTGAGGCAAGCGAACGAGAGAGAGAGCGAGAGTGAGAGCGGATTATGTCAAGCAGCGCTCTCTCACCTGTTGCGCCGCTCGACAATGCTCAGCTGTTGTTGCGGCCAAACGAAACTCAACACAGTCAGTGGCAAGAGCAACAGAAACCAGTTGCAGCCGTATTGTTGTCGTGTTGGCCGACGTGGCCGGCGCCGTGGTGAGTTTATCATGAAATCACGAAGAGATCGTCAAGTTGCTCTGGGCCTAGTTCAGTTGGTGGATGTGCTTCAGTCGGAGCGGTTGTTAGACAAAACCAGAAGCAGATCGTGTTTTTATTGTTCTATAGAAACGTGGCCCGTGCGCTTGGCCACCTTTTGGAAACCTTTGCGCATCGGTTGAGTGCAAAATCGTAATACCAACAAGCATTTAAGTGTGTGTGTGTATGTGTGTGTGTGAGTGTGTGTGTATTTGCTTTATGCAAAGCGCGGCTTTCTTATTTACAGACGCTCAGACACCCATCGAAATCGAGTGAAATATGCAGTTGAAAAGAAGAAAAAAATTCCATTTAAAATACCAAAACCAAAAAAAAAAAAAGAAAAAAAACAAACAAGTTTTGCGCCTTCTCTCTTTTTATGTATATTTCTCTCTCTGTCTGTGTTAATGTGTTCGTTGTTGTTTTCTTGTGTGTTTTGTTTGCCATTTCTTCATAAAAGGAGTGAGAGTGAAATGTGAAATGTCAAAGTAAATAAACCGCGGACAGCAACTTTTACAATGACATCATTTGTAATTTAAACTATAACTATAAATATGTACACATCTACAATATTATTTAATTTATTTAGAAACTGTCATGTGAACTATAACAGGCATTGTTTTCGGCTGCCGCTGGCTAATTATAATCAACCCAATATGCAACCCGAAACTTGGCCAAATGCACTAGAGCAACAGAAACAGAAACAGCAACAGTATCAGCACCAGCATCAATAGCATTTGTGGTTTTCTAGTTGGTCGCAGTCGGCCAAAGTTGCCGCAAATAACGCCACAGAGCCGCTTCCAGTTGTAGTTGGAGTTGGTTGCTCTCGAAACCGGTTCGAATATACAATTTGGATCTAAAGTGTTTCTTCTTGTTGCTGCTGCATTATTGCGAATTGCATGCGCATTGAGTTTCTTGAATATATTTTCCTACAAAGTTAAGAATGGCAAAAACAAAAAAAAAAACTGTGGAAAAGGTTAAGTTTTTCTAATATTTCTCCAAATAATATATTGATTATAATTTAAACCCAAGGAGGAATAATGATTAAAAAACGAGAGACTTAGGCAACGAACTTGACAAACTTGACAGCCTTTTGGAAATCAGTTTTAGAGGGGATACAAATAACAAAAACAAAAATATATTGCAGCACATTTATTTTTTGGGTATTTCTGAACACATTCACATGTGTTGGCTAAATTAAACTCAAAATAAAATCCCCCAACATTATTCAACAAACCTTTCAACGGAAATGACAGCATTTAGGGTTGCCAAATAGATGACAAAAAAGTTACCGTTACGAAAGTATAAAATCAGACACTCCAGAAATGGGCAAATGTCAAACACAAAACGTGCAAAAAATCAACAAAAGATCGCTTGAAATAAAATATTATCAAAAAGTGAACGAGAAAGGAAAAACACAATAACTTATGAACTCAAAGTGTTGCTGGCAGACCTTTAACAAATTATTACAGAAATTTTAATTTTTTTTAGTTGCTGTTTATTTTAATAATTTAACAAATAGTGCCAAGGTGTGAGAAAAACTTACAAACATAATATAATAGAGATCGTTACGAAAATATACAATAAACAAAATCAAAATGCAAGCGTGTAGAAAAAAAAGAGCTGCGGGCGATTCAGCGTCGATCTTGTGGAGTAGACTCTTTGTGGCCAGCCTCTGTGGATTTCTGCTGCTTGGCATTCAAATTGAGCGTGCGGCGTCAGCGCCTGCAGGCGAGGATGATGCAGCAGCCACGATGATGCCAGCGTTGGATATAACAACTGAGGCTGCTGCTGCTGCTGCCTCCACAAACTCCACAACAACGACAACAACGACGTCAGCAACGGCAACAACAATTGGCGTAGAACAAAGCAGCGAGTCGACTGCGACGTCGACTGCGACGGCAACGGCGACTGCGACCATATTGGATAGTTCAACGACTCTAGGAGCGAACAAATTGAACGCAAGCGAAGCTGGTGAGTTGCAAAGAGGCAAAGCACGAAAATTATAGATAGATAGCATAGACGTCGCCCATGCACGTCTCGCAAAGCTTTCCAGACACTTTAATCTCACTGTTCTCGAGTCCGGTGACTCTCTCCGTCTCTGGCCCCATAATCAAATTTCGTTCTTTGAGATACCAATTAACGCCGCACCACTTCGTCGATCTCGGCGACGTCGCGACGTGTGCCGCCGCCGCCGTCTTTTACGGCTCGATCCGTCAAATATTTCAAACCCATAATTACTCTCTTTTTTCGCTTAAATAGAGCGCACCAGCGCTTGTGTAAAAGAAATTTTGTATGGCGTCATTTTCTTTAGATTAATCATAGACAGAATTTTGGTTGGCCTTCTCTTATTGGTTTCCTGTTGAATTATTTCGTTAATTATGCGGCGCTTCAAAGTAAAACAGAAATGGAAACTATTCCTTAAGCTGCTGCGGAAATCATTTCCGAAGCTAAAAACAAATTTGGAAAGCAACTGAAGCATTAAGCATATAGAAGACAGGTGAAATATGTGGGATACCATAACACTGGCTTAAATTCGTTGACTAAAACTGCAAGTTGAAATCGAGCTTAAAAAAAGTATGTCAAATATAGTAGTAGTAAATAAAAGTTAGTCATAGAACCCTGTACCTCAGTATCTATTGTAAACTAAGTGAAAGGCTGAAAATTTATTCGTCGATCGAAGCTTTAACTTGAAAAATAGGCTAGCAGTTTAATTGTTAAGATCTATGCTCTGTGTTGGACTCTGCGTGTATTGTAACATTTTTTTTTTTGTAATTAGCAGTTTGTAATTCTAGTTTTAATGTCAGTTGCATATCAAACGTGTCACGTTGCCGGCGATTTGCATCGGAATTTACAGCTGCTTTGATCTCATGAAACGTCGTTTTAACTGTTGGTATTTTAACTGTTGGCTGTAGCTCTTAGCCTGATCATAAGATAAGATGCTGGCTCAAACGGGCCACACAGTTTGCCAGCAACAAGACAAAAGACTTGAAAACTAACTGGGTTTGATATTAGACAGTTGGTAAACTGCACATTACAAATCAGTTAAATTTATGAATAACTTTTGACTGTAATTAGCTAGTTAACAAATTTAGAAATGCTTAAATAAATTTAAAGCATTTTTATATGAGTCATGTCCTTCACCTACGTGCTAACCGACAACTGTTACACCTTTTAAATGCATGTCATAAATGTTTTTAAAGTAATTTGTTTATTTTTGGGTGCCACTTGAAACTCATGTTCGTTTCCATACACAGAAATACGTAATAATAGGTTATTTGGCTTTTTGGGGGATGCCAATTAAAACCACATGTAGTAAATTAACTTGAACTTAGATAACAACAAATTTGAATAAATCATTTAGATGCCAAACACACCCACAAGCAAATTGACGCAACTTTTAAAGATGTTAAACATCTCAGCCCCCATGTACAGCTTTAATTAATGAATCCAATCATGAATCATGCAACCAAAAGACAACATCTTACCAAAGATCTGAAAAACTGGCTATTGTCAACTGATTATCTAAACATTTTGTGAGCTATTTGCTTATAGAATTATCACAGAGAGTAGACCACAAATGTTATAAATATTGACCAATAAACGTTAAGTTGTTAAACTTGTTTTGTGTTTAGAGCTTTACTTTAATTTTTTGCTTTAATTAATTAACCCATTGATACAAAAGCTTATATAACTGGACAAAATACATATGTAATTGTGTAGGAACAAATGAACAAAGCTCAGCATAAAGTTCACTGCTATTCTTAAACTTGACTTTGAATTGTTTATAAACTTTAATATATTTGACCTCTGGTATAAAATGATATAATATAATTGCTTTATGTATTATTTAACTTATTAATTTTCCCGCATTGAAAAATATTATTTGAATCTAGTTCAATTAATATTAGATATATTCAACTTTTATAATATGACATGTAGCTATCATTGAAATTAAAAATCCAGAAATAACTATCAACTAAACAATCAACATTTTATGTTCCAATCAGTTCAAAAATTGTAATATATATAATTACAATAGTATACAAATTTTGGCACCATAACAGTTTCTGGAAAATGATTTGTGCCTGACAACTTTAATAGACTTGACCACCAAAGTCAGCAATTATTGTAAGCGGCCTTTGCATGATACAGGTTGGTAAAACCCCAATTGATATAACATTTTGAATGTTAGAGCTGTAAATTGTTTTTGCACAAAGCCAAGTGCAAATAAATTGCAGCTTGCTAATGAGTTGGAAAATTGCTGACCACGGCTTAAAGTCGAGTGCATAAATCATTTATGTTAATTTTCTGCTGAGTTTTCGGCCAAAATACAGAAAATGGGAGCTAATTGATGGCCTTGTGGTCGCGATTATCGAAGTGCAGAAAAATAAACTATAAGATCCTATTAAGTGGTTCGAATGCAATTCAGGGCCTGCACTCGACAAGGTTTGCCAAAAATTACATTAAAAAAAAATATACCCGCGCATAAAATGTGGAGGTCTCATTACACAATAAAACACATCACGAAATATTAAATTCAATATCGTAAACAAAATCAAAGGCTAAGTTTTCGTGCCAAGTAACGACCTCAATTATTGGCCAAGATCATACTTTTTTTATTTTGATTTTGGTTACTTTCTTCAAGGAAAAACTGTAAAAAAAATAAATTAAAATTGGTGAATGAGATGTTATTATGTTGATTGTTGATTACTGCGCATTTGTTATTATTATAAATCAACGCACGCAAAAATTTGCATATTTTTAAGCACGATGTCGTGAAGACTTGGAGGAAATTGAAGTCAGTGAGTTCAAAATGCTGAAAGCAAAAGTCAAAACAACTACTGAGTGCTATTGAGGAAGCTTGTTAATTCTATACAAGTTGCATACTTAGTCAAACACTCTGCGCCATTAAAAAACGCATACTGAAATCCTAAAACAATAATAAGTTTTCGCATATGCTACCAAGAGAGGGTCCTCAAGTCTTTGTTTGTTCATATTATGAGAGTTTGGGGTTATTTTTTTTGTGATTGTTGTTTATTTGTTTTGGAATTTTTAATTTTGTTTGTTTCTTTTAGAAATTCTGCAGAAAAAGAGCGCAGCTAAACAAGTTTGTGCCCTAAGTCATTTGTTTTGTATATTTTCAAGGATAAAGATAAAAGTCTTTGTGCGCGAAATACAAGCAAAAAATGAAAAGTATTTCTGTTAAGAGGGTGTGGCATGCGTATACATATGTGTATATGTGTGTAAATGTGTTTGTATTGTGGCAATTGTGGTTTTGGTGAGGTTTACCTTTCGCTTGGAGTTCGTGCACGATTAGCTGGCAAAATTGAACGTCCGTTATAATGAACCGATAAGTAAAAGTAGCTTAAAACTTTTCAACAGAAATAGCTAAAAATCGTTAAGCGCCGTGTGTGGACATATGTACGTATGTATGAACGTTTGAGTGGATCAACAACGACAACATCAACAAAATGTTGTTAATTGCAGCGTGTTTGTTGTTGTTGCTCCTCTGTACATTGACACTTGTCCGAGCCAGAGGCTGACTTTGTAAAGCGTGAAAGTGCTGTAAAACGCTTGCAGTTAACAATTAACATTTCACCCATAAATATGACTGAATGGATTTTCGAACTGAAGTGTCAAAAAATATATAAAATACCATGTCACAGTCCATCCACAAGGTGTGGATTTTTAACTTTGGTTGGAGGAGGGATGATGGGCGGTAATTTTTAATTCCAGTCTGCTTTCTCCGTTCGCAGCGTCACCTGAAAATTTATTGCCTGCATCAAGTGATAGAACAACTGGTTAACATTTGGTTCAATTGGACATAAATTACAGCCAAACATCAGATGAAAACCTGATCAGCTGAGCTCCTGGTATTTGTGTCAGGGGCACAAGTCCAACAAAAAAAATTCTAGTCTGATAATTGTGACTTGTTTTTACTAAATTGCTATTTGAAATATATGCATTTGCCTAATTACATCAATTTGTGTATTTATATATATATATATACATATATATAATATACGTATATATACGTATTGAATGCCCTCTTGTTGTTATATAGACATGTATGTTTTCTATAATTTTGCTGGCTGTTCTTCCATCAGTTAATTTTTTTATGATCACCGCAGATGAAATGTAGCGCAAAAAGTCGACTCTAATTAATGCAATTTAATTGCGGGCTGTATAATGTGAATGTGTGTGTTTGTTTGCTTGTCTGTGGGGTGTTTATGCAATTAACTGTGTCATTGAACGGTGCACAGAATGTGGCCAGGAAGTGGATACATAAATACACACATATATGGTTGGGAAGCAAGAGACAGGGAAAAAGAATTGTAGAATGGAAGTGAACAAACATAACTGAGATAATATGTATAAATTGCCCAGGGCGTTAGAAAGAAGAATACGTAATGAAAAATGTGAAATGTAAACAAGAATGAACAGTTAATTTAATTGAATATTTACTACACATTATTGTATGTAATTTAAGTTATGGGGCAAATTAAAATAACTTTTACAGCCAAAACGATATTTTTCTTTTTTTTTTTTATAAATTTAGTACTCATATTTAAATATATGTGTATTATATATGTATATTTGCGAGTCTTTTCATCGTTTTCAGTTTCAAATAATTTATAATTTAATTTACCAATAGTTTTTTAAGTATTCAATATCACTCCTTTTCTTATTTTAGTTTTAAATGTTATATATTTTTAAATTTTATTTATGTTTCATAAATCAAATTATAGTCTCTTTTCATTTTAATTTTATGTTTTTTAATATTTTGTATTCGTGGTTTTTGTTCGTTTTCAACATAAAACCTATTCTATATCTATATAAATGTCAAACTGAGTGCATTTGTTTATTTATTGAATATTTTTTCATTTATAATTTTATGTTTATTCTAAATTTCTTATCTTTTTTAAGCTTTTTCAATTTTGTGAACTTTATAAGGGGTACACTTAATGCAT